TTATTTTCTACAAGTTACAAATGTTTTACCTAAGAAATAGTTAAGTAATGATGCAAAGTAAGTGGACAATTATGATTAGCTGAAGAAAGTTTACGTCCTACAGCCAATAAATTACTACTGATAAGAAACTTTCTATCTCAACATAGAGACTTGCCTTGCAAGATTTGGTCACGTATTTTTTTTCACAAGACAGTTATTGGTTTGCATAGTTTTCTTGGAACAAAAAATATTATTCAAAATTACTTTTTCTACCACGTCTAGCAAGTATCAGCTACAACCTTGATTATATGCTTTGAAATGTAATATCAACACCTGTTCTCTTTCTTCACCTTCTAAGTGCCTTGGGGACTCTATTTCCTTGGTGTCCTGAGTTCTAATTCCTTAGTAAGCCCACTGAGTATGTGCTGTTACATGAAATGCTGTGTTATTAGAAGGAACCAGTTGATGATGAAGGCATGTGTCTCTGAAAAGTTCAGAGATTTGCTCAGCTCAGGCAGGGAATAATAGAGTAAACTGGAACAGTGTCACCTGACAGATTTAGTGTAGAGTACCTCTTAACTATCACAATGTATTCAACTAAAAATATCTGAACCAGATCTATGCTGAATCAGATAGCACTTGTATTTTATTCTCATATACATAGCTAGTGGTAATTACCAATATTTAAGAAAAATTTTCAAGAAAACATTGAATTATAAAAACTTAGTATTTATTTTTTCCAATAAATTGGGACTTTAGCACTGAAACAAATGGAAGCTTAAGGAAAGTTTTTAGAAAAGAGCTTGCAGACTTCTATAATGTATCACAAAGTAATAAAACCACAGAATATATGGGATGAATCAGAGCTTATGTATTATTTATGCAAACCCTTTAATTTTAGGAATATGAAAAATGAGGCTCAGATAATTTGGTGAATTTTAAGGTTCTATCACCACGTATAATTGAATTGGGACTCTAGAACGTGGGTATTCTGATTCCTCATTCAGCACAATTTTCCCTACTCAATAGTCTCTTCTGCCTTCTTCTTTCATGGAAATGTTTTTTTTCTAGAAACCTCCAAGAAGTATGAAAGTATTTTACAGGTTTCATGATAAAAAAAAGTTAAAGTTCTAAATTGTTACTAATAGATATTTGATTTGCCACCTTTTTACGGTCCTTATCCAGCTATTTCAGTATTTAAAAAAATAAAAATAAAAACCATTGCTCAGTAATGATCTTTAAAATTCAGTGGCTTGAGTGCATTAGGATTTCATTGAACATTATTTAAGCAAAACTCTTTTAATAACTTTTGAAATCAACAGCTGAACAAATAATTATTGGGCTATTATATGACCTACATGATAACATGTAAATATTTGCTATTCAAGAGGTAATAATTTAACCTGGAATTGTAAATGTGTTTTAGAAAATCTGATTTTCTGAGATTTGGGTATCCATTAATTTTCACCCCTTTTGTGTATTTCAAATACCCCAGAGTTTAATGGTAGTGTTCACAAACTTATTTACTTGCAGTTCTGCCTTTCCTTGAGGCATTTCTAAGTGCCCAAAACTATTAATAAGGATGAATAAATAGACACAAATGAGCTTCTTTTCAATCATTTACAATTTAGTCTACTATGAGCTAATCCTGTGTCCTCCGTTAATCAACCCCAAAACACAAGCCTTCCATTGTGCTTGATAGAGATGAGGGAAATGTGGTGGAATTCAGTCAAAATATTAATTTAGACATTTGGGAACCATCACCTCCTTGAGAAAACTATCAGGTAAAATACATTCATTTTTAGGCAAGCTAAATTCCCATGTCCATGGATTGCACAACCCTGTTAAAGTCAGTAAGTATCAAAGTCTTGAGCTGTGGACTAGACAACATTGCCCAATAACCACAATTAGTGTTTCCAGCATCTGCTGTTCCTCTTTTACAAATCTGAATTCTTCTTCCTATGCTATCTCTCACATACATTATTCATGCTGATGTTGAAATAGTGACAATTTGTGAAGAGACTTCAGTAGTTTCATTGTAGCACTGAAAATCACTGTACAAATAACAGAAGGAAAACTGGCCCCAGGAAATTACCTCATAAACGTTCTTAAATCCCCATTGTATTATAATGCACTTTAAACAAACAGGGAGTATAGTATTTTGTTAAATCTTTGGTTTGTCCTGGACAGTAAAACTAAGATTTTTTAACCCTCAGTTTCAAGTTCTTCACTGACTTGCCCTGATTTAACTTCTCTTTTTTTCCTCCATTCCTGTAGTTGTCCTTTTATCAGTAAAGCCTACCTACCTTTCAATCAAATCTCTTACTCCCGGCCTCCATTCTAACTTACACTTAAAATCTTTCACCAGTATACAGAATTCTTCTATTCCCCTAATTCACAGAGCTCTCAAGATAAGACAATTTACTGTTATTGATATTTAAATGCAATGATCATTTCCACTAAACCACTCTATATTCTTCAGGAAATTTCCCCCTTTGCTCTTTATAGTACCAGAGAGAAAGAGCGCGAGAGAGGTGATATAAAGAGAGTGAGGGAGGGAGGGAGAGATAGATAGAGAGAGAAAGAGAGAGAAATATCACACAACATTTAAATCAGCCTTAAAAATAGATAATAGCCCTCAAGCCCTAAGCCTGACAGAAATAAAAGAAGATCTAGTGAGAATCAAAAAGTGGAACTGAAACAAAAATTTTAACATATTTCTCTTTATTAAAAACATTTGTTTGATTTTTATGGAAATCTGAGTTTTTATGGAACCCTAAATATTATTATTTTGTGAAAAACTATGTCTTCTCTGATGTAGAAATTGACCAAACTTGCAGATTACTAAGAAGAAAATTCCATGTGAGATGGGCCAATTTTGTACTTACACTAAATTTTGGAACAAAATACACATTTGGAAATAAGAAAACATGAAATAAGTATGTGTTTATATTACACATTGAATTAATATTTCCAAATAAGTAAAATTCTTCCTAGGGCAGATGGGAAGTCCAGGTACAGCTGATCATTTTTACGTGAAGGATAATGTATACATCTTCCATCACTCTTCATAACTGACAAATTGTTCTATGTGTGACCTAAGATTTCTGACTGGACCCAAAGAATCTCCATGACGTATGTTCTTGAGATTGGTAATAAATAACCTTTAGGCTTGAGGGAGAAGTTGACTTGTTGATGATTACCACCAACTTTCAGGAAATCTCTAAAAATATTTTCAACATAAAGTTAGCAACGTTCAGAAGGCATCCTAACGTTTTCATCCACTCCTTCTATGCAGACCACATTTGTTTTCCGTGTAATCCTTTCCCCCTCCTAACAACAGCTGTAGCACTACTTAGCGCCCATTGGTCTAATGCTATTCTTAACTAAAACTACTAAATGACCTCTCAGAGAAGTGCTAGAGAGGGCCAAAGAGTAACTCAGGTAGAGGGTTCCATTGTCCTACCCAACATCTTATCCATTCTGCTCTTACTAAATCACATACTTAATCAATCAGATGATCAACCAATCTAAAAGTTCATTGACAGTCTACTACATGAAAGTCACTGTAGTTAGTCATTTTTGATAATACAAAGAAATGTGTTACTGGCTGAGGATTTGACATTGTTACTTTGACTACCTCAAGAAACAGTCAAGGGTTCATGACATGTAACAATTGTAATTTTGCTGAGGCATGAAATTGAATTACATGTGACAAGAGTCTGGTCTCTAGCAGGAATCTAGCTAGAGTGTGCCTATGTGATTGACCCACATATCTTCTCACAGTGGTTTAGATATTTTCTGCTTGTGGTCAAGTTACTATGTGATAATTCTCATGATAAGATTTTTTAAATAAATATTTTCTTTGTGAGTACTTTTCCAGCAAATGAAGTCAGCTACTAGTTCTAGTGATAAAAGTAAAGTTGAAACAAAACTATCTGAGAAAGTGATGGTTCTAATCCAGAAAATAAAAGCTTTATGGAGTCAATTACATGTTTCACTGACATTCATGAATTTGGAACTGTGGTATCCCAAATAAATATTGAGGGTCTGCTATATAAAATAAAGTCCTTATCCTTAGGGAACATTTAGAAAAACATAAAATTGCTTTGTCAAAGTTACCTTCTTACAGACCATATTAGTGTTAGATCATTGCAAATATGAATGTCATTTTGATTACATTTTAGGATCAAGACATTCATGTTATTTGTATTTTTCTGAATATTATGCATAAAATCACCAGAGTCTACTCTTTCACAGTACAGAATTTGATATAATGACAAAATATGTAATTTTAATTTACTTATTTATTTTTAGTTGTAGGTCACAACTAATACCACTTAGGTTAAAGTGAAGCTATGAATCAGAAAAAAAATCCAATTAATTGTGTCACTATATAACACAGATGTAGGTTAAAACAACTTCATGACGAAGTGGGATTTGACGTATTTTCAAGTTGGCTTAAACACTTTTTCTAGGCAGAATAAGCTTGGAAACAGTTTCTGAAACCCAGAACATTGTGACAATGTACGTGATGTTGCACAATGGGAAGTCTATGGCATATCTTGGCCACCTGTCCCTTGTGAAGATCAAGGCCCATCATTTCTGTTTATGGCAGCTGTTGTTTTCCATCCTTCTTTCCTCCTGCTGATGCTTGTATATACAGCCGCTCTGGGTCTCCTAACCTTACGCTGCTTCTGTTTGTGGTGCTTGCCCTTGCTATTTTCACTTTATATGAGCTGCTCTATCCTTTCTCAAACTCGTTAAAATATTGTTCCTAATAAAGATCGAAATCCCATGCTTGACTTCTTAAAAATAAACCTTCCTCTTTTCCTGGGCAAGCACACAACAGAATGTGGGGGAGGTGTGGGGTGGGGGATGGGGGTAAAGAAACAGGAAAGAAACAAAAACTTATCTCTTAAAGTTTGCAAAGTACTTTTTGAAAATGAGAATTCTTTGTATTTTTAAAACCCTCTCCACCCATTAGCCTCAACACTACATTGCTGCTATACTTACACCTCGCTCGTTATGTATTTACTTTTTATATAACTAAGCAGCACCCTGTCATAAATGAAATATTCATGCAAAAAAAAACCTGCTCAAAATGAATTTATAAAAAGAACATATAAAAACTACCATCTGCTCCCACTCCTAGCAAGCCCTTAGATACCCAAGTGTAAGCCCTCTGATTCCACAGAGGTAAAGCAATGTGTCCATGATGTATTCCTGAAAGCCCAAACTTTAGAGTTTGTATTAAGATGGATCTATGAGCTCTGGCCATCAAAATGCTTAGCTCAACATTGATGGGCTTAGATATTGCATATAATGAATTCACGTGCTAGCATATTGTAATGGGTAGTCATACTCGGTCATATTGTGCTGAATTGAGCTGAAACTCTTCTGGGAAGTTGTGAAAGCGTTTTGTAGTCAATTGATACTATACCACTTTATAATAAGCCTTCCTTTAAAGAAAGTTGTCCAGACATTCCAGGACTCCAAGGTGAAGTGCAGGCATTTGGATATTTTTTTGTTTTAATCGAGCTAAGAAAGCTAAGGATACTTCTGACATACTCAGTGCATTTTACTGCTCACACTTGCAGCATCACAATTGCAACACATCAATGCTAATAAGATACATTTGATGTTCTCAGTAGCTGAATTTCTACCAAATGGCAAGTTGCCTTTTTAAAAGTTCAATGAACACTTAAAAGAAGTTTTCTCCTTTCTGTACCCTTCCCTTCCCATCCAGCACATTCCCACTTTCTTCAATGCTCCCTGCTAACCACTCTGAAGTTTATATATAAAAATTTCATGTTTTCTTCCTGAGTCAGTTAGAATTGTTTGCTTGCAAGTGACCAAAAAGCAAAGTAACAGTAGTATAAACAAGAAAAGAGGGCCGGGCGCGGTGGCTCACGCCTATCATCCCAGCACTTTGGGAGGCCGAGGCGAGTGGATCATGAGGTCAAGAGATCGAGACCATCCTGGTCAACATGGTGAAACCCCGTCTCTACTAAAAATACAAAAAATTAGCTGGGCATGGTGGCATATGCCTGTAATCCCAAGCTACTCAGGAGGCTGAGGCAGGAGAATTGCCTAAACCCAGGAGGCGGAGGTTGCAGTGAGCCGAGATCGTGCCATTGCACTCCAGCCTGGGTAACAAGAGCGAAACTCCATCTCAAAAAAAAAGGAAAGAGTCTTCTTCCCTCTCATAGGAAAGATATGCAGAAGCAGGCAATCTAGAACTAATGTCATGGCTCCAAGATCATTAGAAAACCAGCATCCTTTTTTTCTTGCAACACACACATTGACTTGGTGTGTTGATTTATGGTTGAAGATGGCTCCCTCAGTTCTAGGCATTCCACTGCAATCCAAATAGCATGTAACACACACTCCTGAATATACTGCTTTGACCAGAACTTAGTCACATTGCATGTCTTGCTGCAAATCTTGCTACTCTAGGAAACGCAGTCATTAGCTTGACTCATTGCCACCCCAAAATAAATTCAGAGTTCTTATACCAAGAAGGAAAAGGAGATAGGATGTTGGGGTAGACAATTTTCAGATATCATAGGTCATTATTACATAACATCTGTTCAGGTTTATATTTCTACTAGTTTTAGTTAAATAATCCAGGTGCTCATCATTCAATAATCAAATTATTGATAAAGCTATGATAAAAATGAGTAGAGAAGAGTTATAGAGTATTGTAATGAGTATCTTAGCTGCTGTTACATTCTGTTTATATATACAGGAAGCTCTGAGGCTGCCTTCAAATAACTAGCCACACTTATCTACCCAAACAAATATAAAAATCAAGGTGCTAGATCTATATCCCAAGACTCTTGATGCTTTTCAGAGTGTGAAAGAGGAACTTACTGATAATAACACTGGAACATCAGAGGTAAATCAGGGTTGCCCAGGGAAAACTGGAGCATGTGACTACCCAACTCATCCTCCCTACTGAATACCTTCACATACCAAACCTTAGAGGCATCAGTTTACTTTTGTTAATTTGCCAATCATTTCTCACTGAAAATGTCTTAGGATATGAAGAAAACATAACAGAATTGGATTATTATCACACACGTATCTCTAAGTCTATTTAGGCTGTTACAACAAAATGGCTTTGCATGAGTAATTGATAAACAACAGAAATTTATTGCTTATGGTTCTGAGGCCGGAATGTCCAAGATCAAATTATCATCAGATTCAGTGTCTGGTGAGTGTCTGTTTCTCATAGATGGTACCTTCTGTGCATATTTATGCGGCAGAAGAGCAAAGGGCAAACAAACTTTTTCAGGCCTGTTATATAAGGGCATTAGTCCCATTCACGAGGGTTCTGCCTTCATGACCTAATCACCTCCCAAAGGCCCCACCTCTTAATACCAACGCATTCAGGATTAGATTTCAACATGTGAATCTTAGAAGAAGGCAGACATTCAGACCATAGCAACATCTTATCTCTGAATTGGGTATGGAAGGGCAGAGACTTCAGTTAAAGGGACCAGAGGAACTGAAAAGTAACATTAACAAACTATTTCCAGTTGTTCATACTACTGTGAAGTCAAAATTGTTCCAAGAAATGGATGTGAGAAAAGTGGAAATCTACTCTTAGTGCTTAGAATCTAGTTATAAAGGATTCTGCTTAGAATCTCTGAGTTTGTAGTATTTTTATCCACCATTCTGAGTAGTTTATCACTTTAATCTGTAACCTGTGACAGTTGACAGCTGTCACTTGGGAAAATTTGCTCTGGCTAAAGACCAATCATAAAGAACAAGGCTGGTTGTGAGGGTCCGGGCTGACAAGATATTCTGGCTTTCTTCACAGGGCACTAACATATCATTATGATTGAAAATCTCTTCTGTCTATGACAGAACCGAATACCAAATCCCACCTTTTCTCTCATTCCCATGTAATTTTATATATTTTTTTCTGAAACACATTTCTGTCTGGAAAAGGATTACTAGCTGTTAAATAGTACGGATTGGTATAGAAGCTTCCAAAGATGCAGAACGCTCAACTAAGGAGAAACAAAACCACTAGAAGAACTTGGATTTGTACAAATCACTTAAAGATTCCTAAACATCCACAGTCTATATTCTACTTTCTTTCTTTGTTGCTGAAGTTTCCTTTCCCCAAGAGAGTTTACAAGAAGCCTCATACCATGCAAGTTCAAAGCATGAATTTCTGAGTGTGATTCCCGAGGTAAAATCTTCATTCTGCCACTTCCTAACTGTGTAACTTCAAACATATCAACTACCTGTAAATTAGGATTATCTTATTAATTATCTTATGGCTTCTTGAATATTTATTAATATATTTAAATCACTTAAAGTAATGCCTGGAATAGAGTGAGACTCTTTTAAGTGTTACCTATTTACAACGTAAAAATGGACACAGGATATAAAACTTGTGTCTGCATATAGATCCAATCAAACTCAAGGAGTTCAAAACTGAGCTCATCTTCTATAAGAATGTATACCTTTTCATGGCATTCCAATCTTCATTAAGAATATCACTTTATTCTATGTACCCAGACCCTACATCTTATTCTTAATTTTTTTCCACATATTCTTTTTTCTTACATCTGAAAGTATTCAAATCTTGTTCCAAAATCTATATTCTTCTTTGTCTTCATACTGTCACTGTCTTAACTCAGATTCTCTTTACTCCTTGCCCAAATAATTCCAATAACTCATTGTGCATCTAGGCTACTCCCATCAAAACATTTTTCATACAGTTTATAAAGCGTCTCTGTTAGAATCCTACCATGGATCCTCCTTGCCCAAAATAATATCTAAACTACCCATAATGACATCCAATGATTTCATGATAAGGCTTCAATCTATCTTTTTATTCTCATCTCTATCCTCATGCCCTAGGTCAACCAGATAATTAGCTGTACATTTTGGCACCTTAATATTTTTTTGTCCACATTCTTCCTTCTAAATGGAATGTTCATACGTTCTTTCTTTTCTGAATATGGAAGCATTCATAGCCTATCCTGTATCTGTGAAGCCATGTAAGGCTGGCTGTATCACCATACAGGGGAAGATTTTTTTCTAATCAATCTACCCTGAATCTGCCAAGGAGGACTGCCTGTTTCTTGAACTCCCTTCAATAGGAAAGCTCTGCCTCCTCTAGGAGAAGCACCTTTTTCTAACTCTTACAAAAATGAAGTTTCAGTTAGAAGTGACCCTGGACACTCAAAATAAATCAACATTGTCACAGACTTGTGACAGAAACATGTTAATGAGACTGTAGGAGAAAACTCAAACCTGGCTTCTCTACCATTGATAGCCTCCTTCACCAAGTAGATCACATGGGATAGTGATGATTGACAGGAACATGACGTGATCATACAAACAACAGCATCTTATGACTGTAAAGCACCCTAATTCATTTGGACAGGAACAGCTACAGTAGCAAATAGATTCAATACTATGTAACTGCTCAAACATAAATGAAGTTTTCCCTCGCTTACATAACATTTCAAAGAGAATACTCTTGGTTGACAGGCAGCTCTCCTCTACACAGTAATTCAGGGGCCTGGGGATTTTAATCTTATTGCTTCACCTCTCATTAACATCCTATAATTACCTGCATCTAGATGGAAATATGAGGGAAAATGAATGGAAGGAGCATATTTCCTTTCTAAAATCCTTGGCCCAGAAATAACATGCGGCAGTCTATTCCTAATTTACTAGTGAATGTTATTCAGATAACACTGAAACAGAGGCAAGAAATATAATCCAGCTACGTGAAGAAGAAAACAATTTGGATTTTTTTGACCATGTATTATCCTAGTGCCATATGGTTTAGAAGCTATCTTTATAGATGTTATCTCTACTAGGTAAATAGAGATATTCTTCCTTTTCAATTTTTAACAGGTGATGAAGCTGAGATTCAGAGATTGTAAATGGTATACTGAAAATAGTAGAGCTTGGTGGTGAAGAAGAGTCACAAGTCCAAAGCTTCTAGCTTCAACTTTCAACTTTTAACTGTCCTCACCAAAGCATCTTAGAAAGAAGATATTTTAATGGGGAATTCTCAAAGTACTTTTCAATGACTTGACTGGAAAGCTACATAAATCCTCCAAGCACAAAATTTCTGACAACGAAATAGCATTTAAATATTTGGCTAGAAATGGCTATTTTTTCTAGTTTTGCTATGAGGGCAGAGATGACCTCAGAGCTGACAAGGACCACATCATTTACAGTGGTTTTCAAACTTCTTTGGGAAGTAGAAACTTCTTGACATAAAGTCTTATGTATGTTAACCCCTGAGATAAGAGACAAGTAACAGAGGAGCCACTCTGATCAAGCAGGGTTGGAAACCCAGAACCTCTCTTTTTGAGTTTTCCTATCTTATTTCCTGCAGCCCAGACCCCAAACAACTTTCATAGGACAGTAGATCCCTTAAGAACTCATTTGAAAAAGACTATATTAGAAAAATGTCCATGTATCAGTTATAACTGGAAAACAAACCAGTATGTTCATATATCCATCAATTCTACAAGTACTTGTTGACAGTAGTATCAGACACTATGTCAGCTGCTAATGACTCAAATAGGAAAGAAGCAGGGACTATGACCTTTCAACCCATCATGATGTAAAGGGAATATAGCAATGCAATGTCAGAAAATTATATTACAGAGAAATGTGCAATGTGCTTGGAACATATAGAACAAGCATCTTTTAAGCTCATCTAGGAGGTAAGAGCTTTCTAGAAAAGTTTTATAAAAATGTAACTTTTGAGCAAAAAATTGAAAGATGAGTTTGCAACATGCATAAGGGAGAAGATGGATGAGGGAGAAGGCAAACAAGTCACACAGAATCCATAGCAGGTGTAGAGAACAAATAGTTTGGTCTGGCTAATGTACTAGAGGCACGGAGGAGTATGGCAGAAGATGAAGCCTGCAAGATAGGTAGGGGCCAAAATGTGAATGTATTGAAAACCCCGTTCAGAACTGGACTTTGTCATTCCAGTGACAGAAAGCCACTGGAGTTTGGTCCTGGGTTTGTTGTTGTCATTATAGTTTGTTTTTAATCAAGGTGGTTAATGCTATCTGATAAGAATGTTAGAAAAACAGCACTCTCAATAATGTGTCATCTGATTTGAATTCCTGTGAACAAAGAAGCAGGTTCACCAACTAAAAGGCAAAAATCGCATTCCAGAAAAAATGGTAAGGTAATGGTGTTGATGATGGAGAGGAGGGAAGAGGATAAAGAACAATTTAGAAAACAAAGTACAGGAGGGTTGGTGATTAATTAAATTCAGGAGATTAGAAAGAAGAAGCTGAGCATGCTCTAGCTTTCTGGCTGAACTGCCTCAGTGCTAGCAAAAATCAAACGTTATTCATTTCTATTTTGGCATTGAATTTAGTTGTGCTACCTACTAAGATTTTTTATTCTGGTCACTAGTGAACAAACTGAGAGAAATAAATGTACTTCCTACTACTAATATCCCAAAGGTCACGTGGATAAGACCCTTCAAGGTGGAATATAAGACTCTATCATATTGTTAAATAGTTTCCAGGATCCCTAGTGTTGAAGTAGGCAAGTAGCTGACAAGAACCGACTATAACCGTTCAATGATGGCTGCCTGACCTAAACATGAGCAAAAAAAAAAAAGTACTGTGGCATCAAAATAGAATTAGTCTTGCCTATTCTGAAGTTTCTATTTATTACTCATTGTCTTACTTTATTTCAAAAAGAATTGGAGTATGAATATTTGTAAACCTCAATAAAATCAGCATATATTAGAGGATTACTTGCTCTGTATGGCTGCTGAGCACTGTAAAGTTAGAAGAAGCCAGGAAAACTTGTGCTTTCTGCTTTATTTCCCAGCAATGTGAAAAAGGCAGACTGGCCTCCTGTATCCACCTCCGAGGGATTAAAGGAAACTGGAAATGGTTTTGACTCTTTACTGACTTGCCATATGAGGCAGGCTGAAGATGGCATTCCGAATGAATTGGCACAGCCCCGCAGCATTGGAATAGTATTTCTTGACAGGGCTGGATGGCATATGCAGTTTTGTGTATTGTTCTGGTGCTTCTTAAATCAAGTTGCCCAATTTAAGCCAAACAAATGTTTTATTCTCTATTCTTTATTCAAATCACATCAATCCTTTGCATGGTCCAGTCATATCCCCTGACTGCACTCTGAAAATTTCCTATGGTGCTTAGAAAAGGCTGTTATAATAGATAGTAATTAAATAACATACTCAGTACACTTTAAATGATTCCATTTTCAAATTATTTTAATTGTGTTATTCCTATGAAACTGTTTAAATTGATTAGTGAGTAAATAAATAACAGTTTGTAAATCTGTACAAAATAAAGGAGTGTAATTTAAAACAAAAATGGTTTCCAGGTCTTAATCAATTTTTAGATTGTTCTATATCTTGAAGACAATTTACCTGCACTAGGCTGTGTCTAATATTTACTAAAAGAATACCTAATTCATCACTGTAACTCATACCAGAGACAAAGGACCAACTTGAAAGAACATAGGGTGCTCTTGGGCACTTCCTCAAACATGATGAGCAGGAAAGTATTAAAACTACTGCTGGTTTGTACTTGATTGCAGTCAGATTTAACAAATTTGAGGATGGTTATATATGAGGATGGTTATAGTAGTTAATGTTCTATTTTAATTCATAATGGTGTTCCAACATTATCACTTACTAGATAATTTTTAAGCTTTTTCCACCAATCTCTCAAATGCAGGCTTTATGACTCCTCCATTCTTGCATGTCAGCCCCCTAAAGCCTATCATGCAAAATGTTGAAAAGTTGGTTCCTGAGGGATAATTCCCTGTGAGCAGCACACAAGGAAAAAAGCTGAACTGTAATGGAAACACGGAATGGCTCATGTGTCACTCATACCTCATGAATTGAACCAGCTGTGGGCATCTAAGAGTACCTGAGGTCACGCGGAAAGGCAAGAAGAACAGGAAGTAATGAATACATTTCCCTATATCAAATTCTAACTGATAATACAGATGTCTGTAAAGTTCCAAAATGGGGAAGAATAAAGATCAGATCGAAGAATTAACGCTTAGTGAAATGGCTAAACTTGGTGTGAAACAGCAACCAGAGGGAATAACCTATCTGGATTTTCACAGTCTGTTTACCTTCCCATGACATTCTGTGAGGTTTCTACTACAAGGCCTGAACCCCAGACTACAAGGTCTTTCCCTTCTTTATATTTCTTGGTGGGGACGTTCCCAGACTGTGCTACTTGACGTTCAGAATCTCTCCTACGGTAATTGCTAGGCAGATCTTTAGCTTGCAGGAGGCTGTGATATGCCTATGGGCTATTTACATTGACTGTAAACTGTATCTTCTCTTATCTTAAAATGCTTGCTATTGCTTTTTAGCCTCGAGCAGTTTGCCTCAGGTAATTCTTGATAGCAACTTGCTTTTTCAGATATCTCTTAGAGCACTGACCCAGGGATTCTTGAGATAACAGTAGTCCCCGCCCATCCTGTTTTAATACAATCGCTCTTTCTAGCCTGTTAGGTCACCAAGAGAAGTGGATGGAGAAAGGAAGTGTGGCTTATTTATTTTTCTCTGCAGGCCTCAATTCCAACTCCTTTGAAAACATGGAAATTCTTCACAGCTACTGCATCAGCCAGTTTTGCCTCAGATAAGCCTTCTTGGATCTGAGAAATAAGTCTTTTACTCATTTAAAAAAAAATGTAGTTTTCTTTTTTGTGGTCAATGTTGCTTAGCTTTAGTTTCTTCTCCTGATTCTTCTCTTTGCTTTTATTTCTACTCTTACGGCACTGGTGTCAGCCCCTGCCAAGTTTCTTTATCATTGGTCTCTATAGCCAGCTTAACTTTTCTGAACCAATGATATGAAATCAGAATACATATGGGTACTGTCAATTTCACATGGTGCAACTTGGAATTAATTTCTGATGCCTACCAGATATTTCACCCATGAGCAGAATAAAACTTGGGTGGCCCTGAAGTCCCTAAAGAGCTCCCTCCCTAATTCTCCATTCCCTTTCCTGCTATTTTAACTCAAACAGGAAGCCTCAGCATCTGCCTTGGAGCAGGGCTGAGGCGCTCACCTAATTTTATTATAGGGCTTGGGCCCATCCCTGCATTCCAACCTCACTTTTTTTATGGTTCTGCCCCAGCTTTTGCTAATGCCCTGCTTCCTACCCCTTAGTTACTATCTGTTCTCATCCTGCCCTACATGGAGTGGGGGTGGGGGGTGTTATCTGCAAACCCAAATGCAGCTGTGTCAGAAAATGCTGTGCATGTTCCTGAACTTCATCACCATCGCTTCTGGCTCTCATATTTGCTGGGATCCAATATGAGCTTCGACAATTTCCTCTGGGCACTTTGCCTTCACCTTAGCCAGATGCTCATGCACCCTGGCCCTAGTGAATAGACTGTGATTCAAGCTCACCACCCCTCTTCCCTTAGATGATGTTGTTTTAATATGTCCAGCAAAAGCCCAGGTCAAATCACAGTATCTAATCTGGATCCTGTGTATTCTGTCTGCCAAATTTACTTTTCTCTAGATAATATCTGGCAACCAGCTTATTTCTTCTTCACTCTTAATCTCCCTTTTAAATACACCTCCCTAGATCCCCTTACCACACAACACAATCCAGCTTCATAGAGAATTTAGTTTTTAAAATCTGTTTCATTTTTGTTGAATAACTATTAGCTAACTCTTAACAAAATACACCTGTCTCTACTATGATTTTGAAAGAAGTCTCCCCACCATTTGTGTGCTCAGAACTTAGACCTGACCTAAGTATAGTTAATGTTTATGGATTACTCAGTATTTACTAGTCACTGTGCTAATAATGCAATACTGGCTTATATCTCACAATATCCCTATTAGGGAAACACAATTCTAACCCTACTTTCACTGTAAGAGGATTAGCTTAGAGAGATTAAGTAATTTGCCTGTGGTCAGCCAAACAGTAAGTGATAAAGTGGAGATTTGAACAGAGTCCTTGCTTTAACCCCAGTTACAATCAGTATCCTATGCCCTGAAAGGAGTGTTCCTTAAGTCCCATTTAAGGATCAGTTTCCTTGGAGACAGGTACTTCACTCACTCACCAAAGATTTTCTGAGTACCTAGTGCCAATCCATGGCTATGCTAAGCCCTGGGGACATATCCCTTAACTAAAGAGACAGGAGCCATTCAGAATGCTCAGTTATGAAGTCAGTTGTTCTGGTAGAAAAAGAAGGATCTTCCCCAAAAGGAAGTGTCTAATGCCCTAAGGAAGGGGAGGCTCCTTTACCTCAGGCCTCACAGCACAGCTGGGCATAGCCCACTGAGAATGTAGCATGTCAGAACCAGATAGAACAGTCGCGGTCATCTGATTAAATCATCTCAGGTTAGAAATGAAAAAATAAACATAATCACAACATGCTGAGATTTCTACTTTTTCAATATTACATATATTTGATATAGGGAAAGACTCACTTAAATGCAGTTGCCCCAACTCCACATCTAGTACTTTTACCAATACTTCACATTGTCATGAGAAAGATACAGCACATGCTGAAACCAAAATTTCTATAGCTGTAGTCAAAATTCTCATGACCTTGGATCACTTTCTCAGAACAAAACTCCTTCATCGAAGCCATTACCCATGAAGCATTTTTTCCAGATTTTTTCAAGGTGGTTTCTAACAGTTAGGCAATGGGAACCATGTAGGATTCACATGTTTCTACTAACTCCAATGGTATTTGATCTAATACAGTCTCCGGTTAGAAGTCAGGGGAAACTAGAAAACTTAGTCCCATTTTTCTTATTGAATTCACTCATTAATAAACATCACCAAAGCTTTCTGTCACTTTTCCATACTCTCTCATCCACACTCATCTAGGCAACATTCTTGGGTTTTCTTTGCCACTGAGGATATTAGGTCAGCATGACTGAGTTCTGTATACTAGTTGTATTCTCCTCTTATCAGTTTACCACTGTTGCAGTTTATCCTGGGGCTTAAGGGTATAATCATCTCCTCGCCTCCCCCATCCCACCCCTTGTAGTGTGATGTTATTTGCTTTGTTTTTTCTTTCCAACACACTAGCTTTGTGCTATATTTAACTCCCGTACATTAGCATTAATATCCAGCCGCACAAGGGAAGTTGCTGCTGTGCATTACTTCCACCAGGTACAGTAGGGGTTTGTTCCACTAATGCCTTTTGGGGATAAGGAAACAGATGCACATACAATAAGAGGGCTGAACCTTCTCTCCACAGTAAATCGAAGACAAATCTTGATGAGATTTATGTGCATGATTTTATTATTTTACCTTTTGCCTACTCTTTGCTTTTCATTTTGGTGGCACACAAAGCAACTTACAAGGGTGGCTGACAAAGTAAAATAATATTCTCCTCAAAAGAAATTGCTTTAAACCTGACAAGAAACACAGATGATCACTGATACACATTATTCTTATAAGATTCTCACCTTCCTAGAACAAGATTTAGTACATAGAGGATCCTCAAACACATGTTTCATCAGAAACCAGATGTGATTTCCCCTCTTCTGGCTAGTCTTCCTTTGGCTAGATAGGCATTTCACCAATGTCTAGAAGGGAAAGACTGAATCAGAAAAAGGTTGCAGTCATCACAGGCTTCTTATTTATGTGTATAGGTCCTTTTTTTTCCTTCCTTTTAAACTTTTGGTCTGTGGAATCTCCTCTTTCTCATTTGCCTTCTCTTCCCTTCTCCTCCTCCTTCTTCTTAATACCAGCTTCTCACTTGCTTTTGCTGTTGTTTGCTTAAGCAGTCTGATCATAGCAGAATGTTTTTGAGTTGTAATAAACCATTGCCCCATTAGAACAAAAAATGGATGTATTCAAGGTTTTATCCAGGTAACAAACAACATTTTTTGCATTGGCTTAACTTTGTTTTGAAAAATAAATCATAAAAGCAAAAAAAAAATCACAAATCATTAATTTGATTCTTGGTTAGTAAAATGTTTTAATGAGTATCTTAAATATATAACAGGTTCTGATTTTATTCAATTAAGAAAGTGGGTGTGGCTCGTGGCAGAAAAGAAAGATGGAGGAAGAAGAGTAAAAGGTATTGGGAGAGGAAAGACACTTATAACTAACAGAAAAAGGTAAAAAAGTGAGAGAAGTAGACAGTTGTCATGGGACTGAAAAATTCTTGGAAAGCTAATGGCTCAAGAGGAGGGGCACTGTGCATGCACATACTCTCAAAGGTCTTCCGATAGGGCTTTTGAGAGGAGAGCAGGGCAAATGTGGAGGCGGTATGCTTCTCTGAGTCACATCTACCAGGACCACAGGGACTGTTTTCTTAAAGTCCTGGACCCCACCTGTGAATGCTACTTCTATACTATGGGTCATCCAGCTGCTTCAGAGAGGAAACTTACTGGAACCAGAATAAGCCAATAGAAAGGTCTTCAAAGTCAGAGAACTTTGTGCAGAAGCATTTCTGCCTGGTGTAAATGAAAGCACATTCAACTCAGGGGCCTTTCAGTGTACATGTATAGTGATTCATAGCCCATGCCCATTCTGACTGTTCAGTGCCAATGCTTTGTCTGTTTATAAATATTTTTAGTATGACCAGATACCTTGGGATAGCTAAACTGAAATAAAAAATGAAGTTGTTATTTTAGACTATATATAGCTCTAATTTTTAAAAATTTATCAGTTTACGTGAGTTAAATTCACTCATTCATTTGCCCAAGAGATGTGTGTTGAGTACTTCCTCGCAGCCAGCAGTATGCCAAGCAATGGGAAATAAGGTTTGACGTGAAAACTGGTGGCCCAATTTAGGGGTACTCATTGAGCATTCTTGGAAAATTACAATTTGTTTTATTTTTAATAGGGAGCCAATGAAAAGATTTAAGCAAGGGAGTAGTAGAGTCCAACTTCTGCCCAGAAATGTCAACCTGATAGCCCAATGTAAAAACTATTCAAATTGCTCTTTCAACAGTATAGGCAGGACACAATGATCATTTTACCGGACTTGCCATAGGAGACTTGTTTATACTATAAGATAGTAACAACAGGACATGGGGACACTCTCAGTGTTGAGAATTAGAGGAGTTAAGGGGGCAGGGTTCTTGCATGGGATGAATGAAATGGATAGGATTACTGCAAAAGAAGAGATTTTGTCAAGGAGAGATGTGCATGATACAAAAAAGGAGAGGTTAGAGGACTCAGGAGAGAACTTTGAGAAACAGGAACCATTGAGAGAGGAAGGCTGAAGGTGTACAGCAGAAGAGACTGTACAGGCATGGTCAGAGGGTTGGGAAGAGAATCTGGAGAGCAGAGGGAAGTTTTGAATAATTCTAACTGGAGACTAGGAGTGTTGACTTTTTGTTAAGACACTGAAATAGGAGACAGCATGATATAGAAGGAAGTGGGCAGGATTGGAGTCTAATGTGAAAGTAAAACAGCTGTCATTTACTTGCCTTAGATCGTGGGCAAGTTACTCAACAGTTCTCAATTTTGTTTGGCTTTGTTTAATCTCCTTAATGGAAATAGTGTCTTGTACATAGGATTGTTCTGAGTATTAAAATTATAGTGTAGTGTCTATCACTATGCCTTAAGATCCCTTCACAGCTTTTTTTCCCCTTTGGTTTTACCCTCATTCAGGCCATTGAATTCTGAGCTCATTTTTGAAAACAAAAGTCAAATAAGCCCACAATTGTTATTAATCTCTCATGATTTGCTTTTACTTACAGAATAGGGGACCCAGTGGTCCTTCATGGTCTGATCCCTACTCATTCTTTTAGTCCCACCTCTCATCCCTTTGACATCTCACTCCAGCTATGTCGTATTTCATGGACATCATGCTCTGTCATACCTTCAAATCTTGGAACAAGCTGCTTCGTCTTCCTAGAGCGTCTTCACATGACTCTCTGGCTACATACTTTTCATCAACCCTTCAAGACTTTAATTCAAGAACCTAGTTCTCCATGTAGATATCCTTACCCCAATTCACAGTCTGTATTAACCCCATTATCTACACCACAAAATCCTTCTTCCTTGTTGCCATATTTTATAAATGTTATCAGTCATACTGAAGCACTATATTAACTATTTACGTGTTTAAATTCCCCCTAACCAGTAGACTAATACATATATGAAAGCAAAATGATTTTTCACTGAATCATCAGTAACTTTACGTGAATACATGGATGCATGGTTTTAGTGAAAGGCCATGGATTTTACAGGTTAAGTATGCATTGCATTAAAAATTGTAAACAAAGAATTAGTTAGAACATTCCATGTAAACAAAGAATAAGTTAGAGTAGTCCTTTCTGGAAAGTCTTGTATTCAGTTGCCTACCCCAAGGCTAGATTAGATTTGAGGTTGAGCAGATCATTATTGTACTGGTAAGATCTAGGCCTTAAAATAATATTACCCTAAAGGTTTATTCCAAGCCCTGATTACTGACACAGTATGAATGGATTAGTAGTTTAGAGTCAGCATGGCATGGTAGGTAAGAACACAGAAGCTGGAATGAGACTACCCTGGTTCAAATCCCTTTTGTCTGATCGTTACTAACCATGATTCTGGGCTGATTATTTAGCCTGTCGATCATCAAGCCTCCTAATTTTTATAATGGTGCTGAAAACCATAGATATACCTCCTAGATATATTATGAGAATTAAATGAGTTCATACACTTAAGGGGATTATAAGTATAATAATGTCTTTACTTCTATGACTTGTTATTCCTTTAAAGGATGCTAATGGCTATGGTTATACATACCACATAACACTTCGTACAGGTACACAGTAAACAAGATAAATACCTTGTGTCAACAGGAAACAGAATTTCATAAAGCCCTAAGGGATATTTGGATCCAAGACTTCCCCTGAAATCTACACGTGCTCCCTGTCATTCTCTTTCTGCTCAGCTTCTTCTCTAGCAAGAGATCCTTTCAAAACAGAGCCCTTCTAGGAAGCATGAAGGCAGGATAGAGTATACTGGGACGAGACTTTGTTTTTAAACAATGACAGAATAATGGATTCTATTAACACCAACTGAAAAATAGTCCTTAAATACCCACTATGGTTGAGACTGTTCTAGCTACAACGGGGCCAATCTATTTTATTGGTTTTGAACCTTAAGAGGATTCTTGGACTATGACAAGAAATAATCTTTCTTTTCTACCATGTGCCTTTTTTCCTTCTTCTTACTTTTTTATTTTTATTTTGTCTCAAATGGCATTCTTATCAACGTGTGTAGGGTACTATGGTGATGGCTGCTGTATAAATACAAGAAGAGAGAACAAGAGAAGAGGAGGAGGTAATTAACTCAATTGTATAAGGCTTTCTTTAAAAAGCAGAAGAAAGGTTCTCCATAATTTCAATCCCATTTCCAAGGGGGCAGAAAAAGTTTTTACAACAGATGTGCTTACAATCTCAACCCTCGTGCATATCACTGACTCCGAGATGGGGAGCCCATTTGCTTTTTCCACCTGAATGTGCAAGGCAATCTACTTTCCCTACTGCTTTCCCCCCTCTAACTAAACAACCTTTTTATAAGCTGGAAAATGGAGAGCAAGCCTTTCAAACAGTTGTCATAAATTAGAATAAATTGCATTAATTCAAAATGTAAAACTAGGAGAGCCAGGAGAACATGTAACATATTTTCCCCAAATAACACCGAGAAGAAGCACAAGTGTATACTTTGGGCATATGTATATCTCTCTTCTGACTGACAGCCTGAAGGATCGTCCATGTGATTTTTTTGTTGCTGAGGTGAAAACAATCTTTATTTGGATTGAATAGCAGAGTAAACAGGAATGAAAAAGAGACACAAAAGTTTACAGTACAGATGGTTTTCCAATTCTTTTACAAAAATTGTCTGTCTTATCAGTTAAAGGTGCATTTCCCTTTTGTTCTAGTCAATTGTCATGGCAGCTTTTCAGTATTACACAACCAGAAATATTAGAGTAGATCAATAAATTATGTTAAGTTTAATAATGCTACACAGGTTAAATGTAGCAATTAAAGTTTATCTTCCCTACCTTTTAACTGTAAAAATAAAATGATTCATCTTCTACAGTTGCTATGTAAGGCATGAAAGAAACTAAAAACCTTTGTGATCATAAGCCAAGATAAATAAATAAAATAAGGAAGAAGTGTGTGTGTGTGTACACATACCAATACATATGGGGAGAATGGGGAGAAGATTTTGATGATTCAAGAAAAATATTAAAAGGTATGCCAAAAATGGTCTCCTGAGACACACAAGGATTTGATTAAACTATAATTATGCCTACCCGTAAGCAGCATACACCTGTGCACCTAGAAGCCTCCTTCCTATGATTGGAAGGTTTGCTTCCCACACAGTCATTTGGCTCTGTCATCTGAATGAACTGCCTTAAGTAGCGCAAGGAAGGGATAACAACAATCTACCTCCTGTCAGCAAGGCCCCTTCCCGTTCAGGGAAGCAAAAGGCTATTCTAATTGAATGATTCACAACTTTACTACAGCTATGTCAAATTTAAAATAAAACAGCACTGCCTAAATATTTACTGCGCATTTAACATAATTCTGGCTTTGAATCATAATATATCTTTTAATTTGTGTCAAATACTGTCTTTACCTCCAACATTTTTTGACCACAGAATTCAAGGTAGTTAAAAGGTCTAATTTAGAAACACTTGAGGGATCCACGGACAAACATACAGGTCTAACTTCCAGGCTTGTCCTTGATTTTGCAGGCTCTTCTGCCTGCTTTGAAAAGACCGGTTATGGCTCTCAAGGGTGCTCTATTCTGGAACCATTCCCATGAAACAATCAATGGCATATCATCATTTCTTTCCTTTTCCAAAAGAACAGGATACACAGCAAATAATGCACATGTAGTAGAGAGCTGAAAGCCTAATGCACATAGGAAACGGACCCCTCCAAATCAGCACATCAGGCCACCAGATATCAGTCTCGGGCAGGCGTTAGTCATCATTTTCTTAAACGAGCCATGCTCTTCTCCCAGGATTTATGCATCTTCTTCCCCCTCTACATAAAGAATTAGCTGAATAAAGTAAAAATAAGAGGACTCTGGGGCTGCAGATGGCTGACCAGCTGTTTCTGGGTGACACCCCATGAATCAGTGCCTCATCGAGCTTTAGTGCTTCCATGTTTTGGGGGCAAAATATTCTGCATTTTGGAAAACTAGTTCATGGAAAATAATACAGCAAACTAACATTTATAGAAAACCACAGTAATCTTGTAACAAATGTCCTAAATTATGTACTCAAAAGCAGATCCAATTTTACCCAAGGTTCTCATCTACAGAGCCTGTAGGACACTTTCTTGTTGTTGTTTGTAACTGCGGCTCCTCCCAACCCCCAACTCAATTGCTGCTTTTTTTAATGATATACCACTTTATATAATATACCACACAGAAGACAAAATTTCAGCCTGTAGAAGAGGCTTGGGCTGGGAGCAGCAGGGAGATGGAATATTTAAAGGACTTTACTTCCATGTCCCTTTTGAATATTTCTCTTATATATTTTCATTTAGTTTGATGTCAAGATTAATGCTACTTTTGAAAGCTTCCTAGTTTTGTTTTGAACAATACTCATTGCTCAGTGCTTAAGTGCAATGCTGGGGGTGTGGACAAAATAAAACTAGAATGGAAGTTTATATTCCAACCTCTCCCACTTTCCTTCAAAGTAGAAGTTTCTGGCAAGGCAGAGTTTCACTGGAGCCTTTCCTGGTTGTCCTCTTCAATTTTAGATGATTACCTGATATGAATATCTCTAACAGGGTATATTTTAATATACAGAGTAGTAGAGATGGCTCCAAATGCCTATTATCAGGGGAAAAAAAGCATTTGTGTAATGGGGGAATAAGAAATCTCTGCAATCATTTTTATTCAATGAAAGCCATTCCTTTGGGTGGAGAGTCAAATGCTAGTACCCACACATGCTGCCTGCATACCAGCACAAGCCGGAGGAATGCAGATTTCTGTATCTGAGAGCAGCTGCTAAGCAAAATGGAACTTCCAACAGATGGCTGCATTGTCATTATTGGGGGAGGAAGAGAGGGGAGCTATTTTGGTTTTTCTGTTGAGTGTGTGTGTGTGTGTGTGTGCGTGCACCCATGCACGTGTGTGTTTAATAGGACATGTTCTCCCATACCTGTGTTCTCTACTACCTAGATCTGTCTCGTGCTATCAAAGATTCTTGTTCACTTTGAATCTTAGAATTAGAACAGACATCAGTGATCATTTAGTCTTTTGACAGTTGATGAAGAAGAGAGAAGACCAAAGACACATAGCATATTAGAGCCAAGACCAGAACTTTTACATTTGGCCCTATTACATAGAAGTCCTACATTCTATTTACCTAAGTATCAGTACTGAGCACAAATACCAAAGCTCGAGAAAAGGAAACACTACAGCAGTTGCAGTTTCATAGTCTGAAAAGTATGTGTGTGTGTGTGTGTGTGTGTGTGTGTGTGTTCAAGTCTTCTGATGGAGTTGCTTTGCAATTTACATGGAGGAAAAAACTAAGATATTTTATAAGTTAAAATATCTGGTCTTTTACACATATTATTAGATGTCTGGAACATTTTGACCTATGGCCTCCCAAATTTAAATAAAAAGCTATAGAATATGAAGATTCTCCTCCAGTTTCATACATCAGAACACAGGGAGTTAAGTTTCAAGTCAAAGCTACTGAAAGCCATGCTTAAGAAGCAGACAGGAAAGTGTTGAGGTCTCATCATGACCTGTCTCTAAAGGTCTCCATCCCACTTCTGATGGTAGCTTTGGGTCAGTTGTACAGTCACATGGCTCACCCATTGGTTCATGTTTTTTTTTCCAGAAATAGAATCAATAGAGAACAGACAAACCCACAGTTGCCAGTTTGTACAGTCTTGTGGTTTCTGTCAGGGGCTACAGACTCGAGCAGGTCTACCAGATAATGAAGGCAAACTATTTCAGTTCCTGTGGGTCCAGAGTGCCTTGGCAGAGTTCTGGTTTCAAACAAATAAATAACAAATTAAAAGGTACAGTAAAATAAGGGAGTGGTTAAAATATATGAACTAAAATCAATGTAAGAAAAACGTAGTTAAAAACCCTGCATTCTCAGCAATAGCCTATGATGTATTTTGTTAATCTCTTAAAATTTATGTTAAAAGCCTTTTAACAGAAAGTCAATATATTTGGGTGGTAGAGCAAGTATATCATCCTGTACTGGTGGTTGCATTAAATACTATGCATAGACTCCACTGTCTGTAGGAAATGAGCAGGGGTCCATCCAACGGAAGTTCCATCTCAAGGAGGCCAGACGCTTTTCCCAAAATGGACTGTGAAGCCAAGCTAAGCATTATTCTCTCCTCTGCCTAGGTTCCCCACTGACGTCAAGAAGAGTTCTGAAAATAAAGGGGGATCAGAATACAAGAAGCATAGCCCAATAATAGAGCAAAAAAGAAGAGCAGATGGAAAATAAAGTTTCTCAAATAAAGTGTGACCTAATGTCATAAATTTGTTGAGGAAAAGAAAACAACAACAGCAAAGCAAAAAGGCCTATAAGCAGATTTACTCGTGTAAAAACTCTGGAATATGGCAGACTAGAAAAAACACCTAGATACTTAGAAAGCTTTCAGTTAATGACTAAAAAATAAACAGAAAAACATACAAAATCAAGTTTTGGATGAGTTTGAAACATCACTACTAGTTGTTGTGTAGGGGCAAAAAAGATACAAAAATAGAAGTGGAAAATTCTAGAAACAGGCTTTTAGCAGCTTCCTTTGCTGATGATTTATACATACACTTATTCCTTGTATCTTCACCTTACCTGAAACAAGCAATCTGCTGCCCCCACAGATGGGCAACCTTGGAGGGACTCAGGCACAAACTTGAAACATGGTAGTAAAAATGAGTTAAAATACTGGGCACAAAGTAAAAGATGTTAAAAAGGGCCCCAGTCACATAGTAATCTCCTAGAAGTACTCACCATTTACTTCTGCACCCTCAAATTCTCGTGTGTGCATGTGTGTGTGTGTGTGTGTGTGTGCATGCGTATGCACCAAAGTCTCAATGCAAACTTTCTGGGAATCTTTACTAATTGTATACATCTCAACACAGAGAGATTTTCAGATCTGCTTAATAATTTGACTTAAAAACTTATTTTTGATATGGACAAAGAAGGCCCCAAGATGTTGAATGACATATAAAGAACAATCTCTAATTCAATCTCTAAATATTTGTTTTTCTATCTGGCAGTCATCAAGATGTTTTTCTATTTGATGGACACTCTGTTTTCTCAAAAAGTAGGCTGTTGGTTGGGAAAGCGGAGGAGGTGAAGTTTTAGATAGGGCTGCATTTTCTCTTTATTTTCATTGTTTAACCACTGATGGGATTAAGGCAGGGAAAGCCTTTTATTTTTTTTAAATTAATTTTCTTCTTTTGGTTTTTAATTCTATTGGTTCTTAGGCTTTGCCCCATCTCATAAAAAGAAATCTTGTTTCTTCAGAGTAGCCTTTCTAGGTTCTGCCTCCTCAACCTCTTTATTCTGTCTAGCTAGCATTTTTCTTTGAATCTAATTATTGCTCTGCCGGCTCCTTTAAACTTGATATTTTAGAACCTCCCTCACTCCCCAGAGAGCCGCTAACCTCAAACTTTACCTGCATTTTCCCTTTGCTCCTCACCCCATTACTGAGAGTGAGACCAGTTCATCCCTTGTCAAGCTTCTACAACTGAGGCCTCCTGCCAGCACCTATCACTCCCAGTAGAAGATATTGGGCACTCATCTCTGCTAGGATGGTCCTCAGTCAGATAGATCACAGGGAACTATTCTAACATAACAAACTCATGTTATTGTCTAAATGCATAGAATTAGGAACATAAATATCACAAAATTTCAGACCTTGAAAGCTCCTAGAGATCATTTATTTTACTGTGAAGAAAATTAGTACTCAAACCTGGTTGACAATCCAGGATTTTTTGGTGACAAAAGAGTAATATAATGTTTATAAAAATGTTTTATAAACTCCACAGCACTATACTGTATGCATTTAAAAAATGACTATTTGTCTTCTGAGTACTATGTTTGAGAGTTATTCCAGAGATGCTGCCATTACTCAAAATGTTTTAAATCTCTTCTATAAAATTGTCATTTAAGGCAGTTCAGATTGTCACTGTATAGTCACATCTCATTCTTATCAGTAAAGGTATTATCTAGGGCTCAGACATTCATCTCACATTTGATCTTAAATGTCTTTGAAGGCAGAAACCATGTCTGTCTTGCTCCTTGCTCCTGGTATACTGCCTGCCACTGATTATACACCTAATAATTATTTGTTCAATGAATTTTTTAATAAAAGATCAAACCCACCCTCAGAGAATGATAATTTGCATTGATTGATAGGCAAAGGCTCTAAAGTCATTTTTCAAAGAGAATTTCCTAAATAAAATTATTTTTCAGTTGTAACATCATTTTTGGAATAAGTTCAAGATTATTAATTAGAAGGGGACAACATTCCTTGTATGCATATGTTAGTAATCTGGCTGACCTGTTTGCATGACTGAATTTATTTGTATCTCACCTTACAAAAAAAGAGGCAGACTGAAACAACTAGAGCAAAAAGAAACCCATAGTAACAACAACATTAACAAAAAACACATTACTATAATCATGTGTTAGATATGCACAGCAAAAGCAGCCCACAGGGTGGGTTCCTTATGTGTGGTTAGCTAAGGAGTGACAGTAAGTAACAAGAAATAGAGAACAAATGAGACTCACCCAGTCTCAAGCACATGTCTGCGTGCCATCTGGCCCTTGTTCCCTGTTGAGTAAAAGAGTTAGTTACAGTCAGTAAGAATGTAGTCATAAGGAAACATTCTGGGGTGACTGGGGTGACAACATTCCCAGATTGATAATAAGTACACAGGAAGAGAGGCGTTTGCAGGTGTCATGATAACCACCTCATCACTGCTGTTGGCACTCACAGGTAAAGTCAGTTTTAAGCATTCTGTGTGATACATAAAAGTGAGAACAGTCCTCTCCAGTGGACTAATATTTTAATTTGTTTGAAGAAGAAAGAACAAAAAGATGACTTGGGGGAAGGCATAGTAATCACAAGACAGAATTGCCCACCTTTTTTTTCTTTTTTTTTTTTAATTTTTTATTGGATTATAGGTTTTGGGGTACATGAGCAGAGCATACAAGACAGTTGCGTAGGTACACACATGTCAGTGTGCTTTGCGTTTCTTCTCCCCTTCACCCACATTTGGCATTTCTCCCCAGGCTATCCCTCCCCACCTCCCCCTCCCACTGGCCCTCCCCTTTTCCCCCCAATAGACCCCAGTGTTTAGTACTCCCCTTTCTGTGTCCATGTGTTCTCATTTTTCATCACCCACCTATGAGTGAGAATATGTGGTGTTTCATTTTCTGTTCTTGTGTCAGTTTGCTGAGGATGATGTTATATATCCAAAAGACTATAAATCGTTCTACTATAAGGACACATGTACACGAATGTTCATTGCAGCACTGTTTACAATAGCAAAGACCTGGAATCAACCCAAATGCCCATTGATAATAGACTGGATTGGAAAAATGTGGCACATATACACCATGGAATATTATGCAGCAATCAGAAATGATGAGTTTGTGTCGTTTGTAGGGACATGGATGAATCTGGAGAACATCATGCCCACCTTTTTTACAAGTGAGTTACTCTTAGAAGAGTCTAAGAATGGTGATTTTTACAATAGTTTAAAATGCACTAGGCACACACAGATACACAATCTAATTCACACAACAAAAACACGAGCTTTGTCCCATATTTCAACTACTTCCAATCTAAAGTATCTCGACCAGGAGAGGGTAAGTTTATGAATTTGGTGAATCCCGTTGGACTCAGAGCTTGCATTAGTAATTGCTTGGGGAACACGTTTACTTGTTCTTTTTACTACTCCCTGAAACAACAGATTAAGAAATTTCAAGCAGGTCCAGCTAAAAGCATAGCAAAATGTGGTGCCTCATAAAACTGAAACTTAAGAGTGTTAAGAAGAAGTAGAGAATGCTGGATTTCTCTCCAGGCCACCAGCTCTTTCCTTTGGGGCCACTCAGGTTTTGACGAGATCCAGAGCATGGGTATCATCCATGTGTGTGGCATCCAAAAGAACAAAAGTCACTTTTTTCCCAGAAATAAGAGCTATTTAAATATCATAGCTAAAAGAAGGAAGTATTACTTGAATCCTGAAGTGGCTGAATATTTGAATTGAGTTTTTTAGCTAAGAAGGTAATGTCAAAGACAAAGGTTCTGTTACCATCAAAAGAGAATTTATGATCCAGCATTATTCCCTGAAATTCCATCCCAAGCCCCAGCCCCAAGACCAGGTTCCTGTATAATCTCCACAGTGCATTGAGAGTAACCTTCTGAACTGTAAACTCGATTGTGTAACTATTCAGATTACAATTCTTTTCTTCTTTTTTAATTATTCTTTAAGTTCTGGGATACATGTGCAGAACATGCAGGCTTGTTACATAGGTATACACGTGCCATGGTGGTTTGCTGCACTCATCAACCCATCATCTACATTAGGTACTTCTCCTAATGCTATCCCTTCCCTAGGTCCCTACCATGTTACAAAGTCTGACTTTTAAACTTAACATACAGTGATTTTTAGAAAACAGGCTCTTATCTATTCAAACTTATCTTCTACAGCTCCTCTATGTACATCCTGAGCTCTAGCCACACCAACTTAAAGTCTCCAGAATCTGGGATTCTAGCATGTTCACCTACACAGCTGTTCTTATTTAATTGTTCTCTCTGAGGAGTATGCACTTTCTTCTGCTTTTCTTGAAAATTACTATTCATTAAAGACACACACTCATCTCTTTGAAGTCCTTTCTGCCATCATTCCCACTTGTACCTCAGGACCATGCAGACTCAGGAACTGCTATATGCAATTCTATAAAGTATAGCATGTTTTGAACAATACTGACTTTGCTGTCTTGACTTTGAGGGTGTTTTGACCCCAATGGAATACCTTGACATTTAATTCCAAAGGGACAAAGCACATGAGTATATATTCAACTCACCTGTATCTCCAGGGCTGTTCTCCAATCAGTCCACAGGAAAACAAGCTGCTTGAATGAGATGTGGCTTTAATCACCTTATTAGTCTGCCAACGGAGTCATACAAAATACAAGAGACTAGATGCCTTCAACAACGGAAATTTATTTTCTCACAGTTCGGGAGGCTAGGCGGCTATGTTCAAGGTTCCAGATGATTCACTTCCTGGCTTGTAGAAGTCTTTCTTGTTTCCAGGTCTTTGTATGTCATCATATGGCTTGTTTTACTATGTATGTGTGGTGGAGTGGGAGGTAGATACCACTCTTTGATATTTCCTCTTATTAAGACACTAATCCTATCAAATCAGAATCCACCCTTATGAATTCATTTAGTCTTAATTTACATCCTTAGAGGTCTCATTTTTAAATGTAGCCACACTGAGAGTTAGGCCTTCAACACATGAATTTTGAGTGGACACAAACCTTCAGTTCATAACAGCTACCTTATGTTCTCAATATCTAACAGGTCCTTGTAGTAACTGTAAACACTTGTGTTATGATTAAATGCTATACCACATGAAGGGAGAATGAAGAAAACTGGTTAATCCATTAGTTAATCAAAAGTACTCATTTCATGTGCACCACATGCAAATCCCAGTTATAGAACATGTCAGTTTTATTGAGGAATCCATAATAAAATAACTTAATTGGAATTCAAACGCAAAGACATACCAAATAAGTGGTTCTAATAGTAAACAACTATAGGATAGAACAAAAAGTATTAAATTTGGAGTCAGGAAACATGGATTCAAAATCCAGCCGCAACACTTACCATCTACATGACCTTAAGCAAGTTGCTTAACATTTGTAAGCTTCAGCTCCCTTGCCTAAACACAGTTGCAGAATACCTAACTGAGAAATCAAGTGAGATAGAATGTGTAAATTCACTTTGGAAATGCTAACACTGCATATACAAAGAGTGTGACCAAGCCCTCATAGGAGACTTCTCTGACAGGATCCTTGATCTCTTCTCTCTTCTCAAATAGAAAAGGCAGTTTTTCTGCAGGGCACTGCCTCCCTATAAGGCAGGCCTTACTGCACTAACCACATTTGTGCATACCTAGTTATCATCACTCTCAAAACTCAATATTTTATCCGGCTGCCCCACCAGAGAAAGACATGTTCTTGCTTATTTTTTATATTTGCTGTCTTGCATGGAAGAGAAACAGCATACTTTAATTCTGAATCATAAAGAAGTAGTGGTAAAAGCAGAATGAAAAATTGTGTACAACAAAATGCCATGTGAGTGACTGGAGGACCCCATACACTCTTGCCAAAACACTCAAGTATTAAAAATGTTAAGGTTAAGGCTGACATGGCCAAGAGTGATTTAAACATGGAGGCCACCACACAGCAAGCATTCTCATTAAAGATCCATGAAATATGTCACCATGTGCTATCAGCAAATAGAGAACTGTCAACAATGAAATATTCTCTTAGGACTCAGAATCAGGAGAATAAATTGACTTTGACCAATGCTAATTATTGCTTCACCTCCCAATCAGTAACTATAAGATCACATTCCTAAATCTTAAATAAGTGTGTGATATTTGCAGAGTTTGTGGCAGCAAATGGAGTCCAGGTGGAGCTGCATAGGGAAAACAAGAAAAATGGCTCCTCACCAGAAACAAGAGAGGAGCATGGGAGGACAGATTCAGACACCCCAGGCTCCCAAACCCCCTGTTGTGAAGTAGATTGTGTGTGTATGTGTGTGCGCACACCACATAAGCACACGTTATTTATTTATTTTTAAACAGTCTCACTTTATACCGAACTAACAATGCTCTTTATTTTCATTATGTGTTGAAGAAAAGAATTAAGGGGTGGAAAGAAAAGAATTGTGAGAGACATTGCTTTGATTCATTCAAAGCTAGGCTCCAGGATTAGCTTTGTATTTATTTAATACATCAAAAAGCAACAAAACATCACAGTTAAAGAAATAGACACTCAAAACTTAAAATGAAAATGTAATTTTGAAGCATCATGGACGGACAAATATAGCATTTAAAGTACATTATTTTCTTTCCGTTTCTTACAAATTCAAAGGTGGCAATGCATATAAAAAAAGATCTGCTTGAGCTACTAGCAAAGTACCACAGTGAAAGCATGCAGGGGCACTCCCAGCTTCAGGAAAAGTAAGTTGCTTGTCCATTCACTGAGTGGTCAGCACCTGCTTTATAAATCTCTTAAACATCTGGCTCCATGCTCTTCACACAGGAGTTCACACAGGCAGAGACATTTTTTTTTTCATCTTAATCATGTACCTTTTAAGATTCATAATTTGGGATGAGCAAAAGGCTCGGCAGGAGGTGGGGATGAATTAAAAACCATAAAATTGATGCTATCACTCTGATTGACATACCAGTAGTGCAGCATACATTTCCTGTTTGTCAGAAATGAAAGGTGTTCACATTCTGTAATAATACCTAATAATGTTTTGGAAAGACAAACTGCTGTCTGACTACATTTTACCAGGATGGATTTTTTTTCCCCTTTCTGTCAGCACTGAAGTCAGAAGCTAGAGTGTACATTGCAACCCTGTATAAAGGATGACCTAGATAGTTAATAGCTGCAGCTATTCCAGTCCACTACCTGGACCTCCCCAGGTCTCTGATGCTATATTCTAGCATGCCTGAAATCACCATTACACCTTAAGACTAATTCAGGGAAGCATCCAGGGAGCCAGATGTCCAGAAATGCCATAAT